GAGACTATTAGTTATGTAGTTGTATAGTTAATTCAATACATTTCAGTTTTTATTCCATACTTTTTATAATGCATATTAAATTTTAAATACACTTTAATTGATGAACTGGATTTTTTAATAGTCAAATTAGTAAAGAAAAGATATGTTAGATATTAAATAATCACATAACAAAAGTCCTTAACCAGTATTTTAATATATAATGAGATTTCTTTTTTTTCCATATCCTGTTTAACCAAGTATACAGTAGTACCCCTCAGTATTAGGATTACTAGTTTATATTTATAAAACTTATATTTTTAGTGTGTGAATTGTAAACGTGAATCTAATTTCCATTGTTGTTGGAATACATCATATTGCAGTTATGAATGTCAAAAAATTCAATGGATTGGACATAAAAACCGTTGTTCACGTAAAAACTAATTATCTCAATCTATTTATGGGAGTATTTTAACTAAGGAAATAATTTTCTTTCAGTTGAAAAATTGCCAGGTACATACTTACATTATTATTATATTTAAACATTTTTAAATTTACTACTGGTTTATACTAACCAACTCAATGTTTTACTTAATTCGAGTACATTTATTTTATGTGTAGTATCTTTTATTAAATAATAACAAGAACAATATTACTTAAGAGTAACGCAATTATTCAAAAACATCCAAGGACTATTAATCTTACAATTTTTATGTTATTTCATGTATTTTTTCTGATTGACATTGTATAATTATTATGTATTAATTGATTAACTAATCTACAGAGTATACAGTAAACTGTAAAGAGTTGTCCTAATATTAATCAAATATTTCAAATATAATGTTAATCTATTAGAACATCCAAGATGTTTCATATTTTTATTAACTTTTTACCAAACCATAATTAAACTTTTTTCTAGTTGTTTTTTTTGAAACATTATACCACAAATGTATGTTTAATTTTTTTTTCAAGCTTATCTGCATTAAATGATTTTTGTATTAATATCTAATAGCTGCTTTTTGGACTTGGTTACTTGACTCGTTTACCTATTAGACTCATTCAGGCTGACCTGTATACTAACTATATTCTGTGTGCTCATCGATAGTGCTCAACTCTGCCTCGCATAAAAATAATAGCACAACTGCACGAGGTCAAATGTCTCCCACTTACCTGGATTCAACAGCATGGGGGACGTGCAGACTACAACGTATTTCGGTTGTTGATGTCTTTCACGCTCTTGGTGCTCAGAGTATACTAAACCATAGAGACAAATATTATATTTATTCATCAAATTGTATAATACTTTGAATGCAGTGTTGTGGAAGTTAATTTGTTATAGTTGCCATTTTCATTATATTTGTTTCAAATATATATTAACATTTTTAGTGAAGCGAGGAATGTATTGGTTTTTTATATTTTTTTGTTGTCTTTTGTACATTTATTTTTTTTTAAAGTTTATGATTAAATAATATTCTAATTTATTAAACATAAACTTAATTATTTTTTTGTTTTACTATTAGAAATTAGAATAAACGGTGCTTTAAAGTTAATTATTTAATAATTATAAGAGTAAAGGGGTAATTCCATTTTAGCACTAATTGTTATACACAACATATTTATATTATTTAAAGATCATTGAAAACCAAATAAATAATTTAAACTGTAAAAGTTTTTTTAACTATATAAGTTTATATACAATGTACTATACAAATTAATATAGATTTATTGCAATTCACTAAGCTTGCTTTTATATAATGAAATAATTCAAACTTAACTTTCCTAAAAATTGTGAATAATCAGAAACATATAATTCTAATTAAATTCTAATTAACCCATCCATTAGTGTGTTAATATAATATTCAAGCTTTTTGACTTGTATAATGTAAATTGTATATAGTGGTTTAAATCATTTACATTAGTTAATAATTATGTACCATGATATTTCAGTATACCAGTTACTTATATATTGGTAGAACAGTATTGTCATAATGTTATTGTTATTTAAACCGTAAATTATGGTTAGTTGAATTTATATTGTAGATCCCAATTTAATATTGTAAATCAGTTTCATTAGATCTTATAATATTATAGGTAAGTATTTTTGATTCAACTGTTAGGTGAATGATGTAGATTTAAGATAAATCTAATCAAATAAGTTAATTTCAAATACTTGAAAATTATTATACTTAACCTTAAGCATGTATATTTAATATGAAGGTTTAGCTTACTTAATACTATATATACTCCTATATATATTTTATATATAACATTTTATTGTTTATTAAAATATTTATAAAATTTAATGAGTCCATTTTTTTCTACAATAATCGTCCGAACTCCGTCATTCCTAAATAATATTTAATATATTTTACAATTTCGTCCACAAGAAATTTTCTATGATACTCATCAAGTGTTTCTGAAACAATAAATCATGATTTAAATTCTGAGCAGAGCGATGAATGTATTTATTTTACAATGTGTTTTTTTATTTTAATTTTTTTATTTGTGCCTGTACTTACTTACTTAAATATCGTAACTGTTTAGTCAAAATAATGCCTCAATTTTAAACTTCAGTATCTTGTTCAATGGGAAAGTGAATTCCCAATAGTTTTCAGAAGCACCTGGAAAACAAAACTAAAAAAGTGGGTAAGTGGATGTTGCTCTGCTGTACAGTAGGTTTCAAGTGGGTCACTGTAGTATGGATGGTATTAAATTTGAATTCAATGATATAATATCTTTGTACACGAAAAACGGTTCTGAGCGGAGACAGTTTATTAGTGAGGATATTTTATATTATATTTATATTTTTATAACTTATATTTAATACGGTAGGCGGTAAGTTTAATTATTATATTACAACAAAATAACTATTATTGTTATTATTGGTTATTTAATAATTTAATTTCGTCCAAATTTGAACTTAAAATAACTATTAAAAAAAAACTGTGATTGTATATTTTTTAGATTTTTTGATACCAGAATTAACTACTTTAGTGGAACTTTGTTTTAAATTTTCAATCCTTAGATTTAAAAGTTGAATACTTTATACATTTCTAACTACAAAATAATTAATCAAATTGTTAGTTTATTCAATTTTATATTAATATCTAGACTACCAATAATTTGTATATTTTTGTTATAATTTTCAATAACTATTGTTTATATATTACCAACTATTAAATTGTCGATTGGCGTTAATTAATGAATAAATAAATAGGTTTAATAATAGTTACTATGGAGTTGCCATGAATTCCCAAAATATTTATTTTTGTTAAAAATATGAGCAAAATAATTAACCCATAATGATTTTTCTCTTTTTTAAAGTTAGTACTATGCATTATTAAGTATAAGGCCCAAGCATAAATTGAAAATGCAGTTCAAATTTTTTCCGCACATTTATTCATTAATCCTTTACTCAAGCCTGGATTAAGATAATTTTGGGTTCGGGGCAAAATACATAGTAATAATATTTCCATTATCCATGTATTATAGAAAACCATATAAGTAGTAAGTATAATGTCCGTGTAGGAAACGTAGGTACTACCCACAGTGGTAAATTCAGGGTGGTGGACCCTGGGTCCGGACACCTCCCTCACTTTGGCTTATGTCATAGTTTTATTTTTACTTTTTAAAATTTCCCTTAAATGTTCATCGAAACTTATTGATTAGATTGATTATAACTTATGAGATTAATATGAGACAATACTAAAAAGAATTAATATGATTAATATATAATTTAATTGGCATACTAATAATAATAATTAATTTACATACATTGTAAATTGAAAAATTTAAAAAGGTGAAAATGTGAGTGTTGCTCTACTGTACAGTAGGTTACAAGTGAGTCACTGTAATGGATGGTGTTAAATTTGAATTCTATGATATTATATCATTGTATAAGAAAAATGATTCTGAGCGAAAACGGTCAGTCAGCCTATGATGTTACTAAGTATATTTGATGATATTATTGTGAATAAAGTAATTTATATAATATAACCTATTTACGTGGAACCTTGTTTTAAATTTTAAATCCGTAGCTATAAAAGTTGAACATTTTTTAAATTTAGGGTTTGTAATTTGTAGTTGGGTAGTCTACCCACTAGGAGCCCACTATTGTTTTATATTCATTGTGGGACGGCGTTATTCCCTCACATACGGGCTTGTCATTACTCCAAGACTATTCATGTGGTAATATGTATAATAAATTATGCGAAACAAATAAGCTAAGTAACAAACATTCATCGCAACAAAGGTGTATATGAAGAGATGTCATTAGAAGAAATATTTGATGGACAAAATTTCTATCAGAACAAATATCTCTTGACAAATAAGCATTGAAACAAAATATGTAAGTAGAAACAAAAGTAAAATTTAGAAATGAATATCATTAGCATAAGTTGACATAGAAAAAAAATTATTTATTAAGTTGTAATGATTTATTACAACACGACATAGTTTCTTTACATCGTATTTGTAAACAACTATTTCATGGAATAAAAGGTACGCAGTGATCCGAAAAAACGAATAAAATTATTATTAATATTTATCAAACTTTTAGGTATAGTAAATTAGGTACTAACTTAAATTTTTTTAAACCGTCTGCTAAAATTATTATAATTACATTTTTTAAATAATAAATACCTATACTTGTAATAATAATGAAATTGTTCGAATTTTCTTGAATTATGAAATTTTATATCTTCCATGATAAGAGTTGTTACTTTGTAGGGCCAAAAGCCGTTCTCTTACAAATGATAAGGGAAAAAAAAAAAATAATCTCATACCAACATTACCAACCGATAAAAATGTCAATGTTCAATATCATAGAAAATAATAATTTAATATCAGTTTTAGGGCCAGCCTGTAGTAAATGTACTTTTTTATTAATGTATTAATGTATCATCTTTATTATCTATGAATGACTATGATATTAATGTACTTTTCCTTAACACCTGTTGATTAATCTAATGAGTAATTAGTATTAATTAATTAAAATTCAAATTCAACCGCCAAATTACAAAAAAATGGCTTTTAATCCATTACTCGACCACGATTACTTACTTAGTAGTAAGTATTATTCATTTATATATTACATTTATATTGACTCAACATTACTTTCAGATAATGAAGATTATATAGATTTGGAAATTGTAGTAGATGAGGAGGATGAAGATTTAGATGTTATTGTTCAAGAGGAGGAAGATGATTCAGATGATAATGCAGATGAAAACAACGGTAAAACACTTGTTTAAAACAGAAAAACATAATTTATTATTTTTTTTGTTTCATAATCAAATTTGAAATTTATAACATTTATATTAATAATTTTACTTATACAAATCACTAACAGTATACTTCTATGGTTATATTACTGCTGTAGTTGTGTAGGTAATATATTTGTTTAATTTTAATTTTTAATACCTATTTCATTTACAAATTACAACACAAACTTGAAACTTATACAACAGAATTATAAAATATTAAAATGTATTGTTTAACGTTTACTGTTTAGTCATAACTCATAACAGTTAGCACTTAACAAGTTATAATGTAAAGCATAAGTTATATAGAAATTAGAAATATAATTATTAAAATTACATACCAATAAATAACATAACAATTAGTAATTAGTATTGTAATTATCTTTAAAACAGTTGAAAAAATCATTTAAAAAAAAACATATACATGCAATAATATCTATAATAATGCTATAATACAATAATGCTATAATTAAATTAATATGACAATATAAATCTTTAGATATACAACGCCAGCGAGCAGAAACCTTCATAGTTTTACCTGGTGTAAGGTTAAACTCCAAAGTATTTATGGACAATATAAAATACAGATATTATAAAAATGGTGCTAGGAACAATAAAACGTAAGTACAACTGATACTTATGATATTTAGCATAAACCGATGTACTAATCTACAAAGATCTCAATATAAATGTTTCATTATTTACTTATTTGATGTAATATTAGTTATCGTATTACTATTACCTATGTAGATATTTAATCTGTGAAAATCAGAAAAATGTGGCTGAATTTTGTCCATCAACAGCTTGGGTTAGGTCTGAAGATGTTATAGAAGGTAAAGGTACAATAATGACCAGACTCCCACACAACCATTTACCTCCGAATGTGGACATTCCAATGGTTAATTTAAGGCGTTCTATTGGTTTGGCTGGAACGAGTACTGGCAATTTAGCTACCTCCATTAGGCAGATATATAACCAAGACGTTGTGTTGTAAGTACTTTTTGGATTAATATCATATATTTGCGCACTTGTTCTAAAATTATACAATTCTTACAATTACCATTGCAGTATCTTGAGTGAAGACACAGTTTATGATCTGAGTTAATAAGTTCATTACAAGGGTATTATTATACATTTTTTAAAACTAGAGGGAAATACTAATAAAGTTATTGATAAACTATAAATAATAAATATAGGATAATTCTGTTATTCTACAATTTTTATTTAAGATATCCCAAAGTTTGTCGACAAATCCATTTGATTTTATATTATTTTCTATTTCACCACCAACTTTTTAATTTAATAACTATAAATGTCATAGGAATCCTGAAGGTGCATATGATTACACTCATTTACAGTCCCGGTCGAGCCTCAATGAAATGAGACGTCGTCGACGCCCGGTAAATCCGAAAACGGTTGATCAGTTGGCACATATCCTCAACGAACCAAATGCTATAGCTTATGTTTCAACCCTGCAGCACCCATCCTCAAGGTCCGCTTGTATATTTTATGTTAAAACTTCAAATGGATGTTTTCTTTTTACTATATTCATATCCTATTTTATTATTTAGATTTTTTCAGCATAATTTTCCATTAATGGTAGATGGAGAACGCTTAGGAGTAATATTTGCAAATACTGATGCCATTGAAAAATATAGAGAACTACTTCAGTCAATCACAATGGCAGGAATAGATGGAACGTTTAAGACTGTTCCAAAAAATCCAACTGATTTGAAAAAGGGCTGCCTACTTACTTTCCATATAGTGTTCAGAAATGTGGTAAGTTAGGTTTTTTGTCAATAGATATTAATTGTGAATGCACTTCTTCTTTATCTGGCTCCTAATATTCTCAAAAGAGTTCACCACCATCCCTCCATCATGTGTATACATTTAAAAATTATATATGATTGTTCTATTCAGTCTTTTCCAATGGTATACGCATTGACCACAAGGATGACCCAGTCCACTTATGAGTCTTTCCTCAGAAGTGTACAACAAATTTTACCACTGAACTACGACCGACTTACTATAATAACGGATTACGAACGAGGTTTAATGAACGCTGTGAGGATAATATTTCCGCATGCCAAGCTTCAGGGGTGTTGGTTTCATTACTGTCAAGTGAGTAAAAATAAACTCATGCTCTGTAATTTTTAATGAATTGGACTCAAATCAAATTATGTAGTCTGTTATCCGGTACTGTAAACGAAGCATGCATAGTCTATATGATCTATTCCAAACTACTGTCGAGGCTGCTACAGTTTTACGCATGGTAATATTATGATGAATAATTCTTGTTTTTGCTTCTTCTCCACTACATCCAACCATCTTTTTCTGGGTCACCGCCAGCCTTTTTCCCGTTTGCTTTTTCTAATGTAGTTCTTTGTAACTTGGTATTATTTAATTTGACTAATATTAGTTTAACATTTTGTCTTTGGTTTTAGGTGTTAGCTCTACCCCACCTTCCTGCTGAAGCCCAAATAAATTGTAGAATATGTCAACGACCAACAGCCAGTAACTCGAGAGCGCTTACAACCATTTTTATTTGGCTACATACAGAACTTTTGGCTTACAGAAATAGGCGCTGTAAACATAAGTGTTTTTGGGTTAGAGTTCTTAAAACATAACATAACAAATTAGTGTCATTCGTTGTAATTCGTTTTAGGTCAGAGATTCGTACCAACAATTATGTTGAATCATTTCACGCCACACTCCTGACACAAATTGGAAAACACCCCAATATCTGGGATTTCATGCGTATATGAATTTCATTATAATATATTCATGTTTGTGAATATTGTTTTATTAATACATATAATGTATTTGTGATTCTATATGTGAATGGGTATCAATGGGATATAATATTAAGGTAAGTATATCAGGTAAGTACCTATTATACATTATACATACCAATCTGGGATGCGTATATGAATTTCATTATAATATATTCATGTTTGTGAATATTGTTTTATTAATACATATAATGTATTTGTGATTCTATATGTGAATGGGTATCAATGGGATATAATATAAGGTAAGTATATCAGGTAAGTACCTATTATACATTATACATACCAAATCAACAAGTACTAACTTGTGGATGCACTGGTGCACTGATATGTTTATTGCTTGATATAACTTTTTTTTTTTCTTACGATGCGTTGTGTCCGGGAGTAGGCTGGAAGGCCTTATTCAGACATTTATTATGCTTGGCAGACTGTGTTATTGGGCACTCTTAGATTTCTGCTTGGTTGGGTGATGGTGTTATTTGTTGAGCAGTTATTAATCAACTATAGCAACAATGTATTTAGATTCTTTGTATTAATTGAAGACTTTCTGTTATTCTAGAGAAACTATTGATAATTGAAAATCAATATTATTTGGAAATAGACCAAGCTCGCAGGAATCTCCAGGTGATTCTCTAAACAAAATATATACCAGACATAATATATAAGTTATAAGATTAAATATAATTTCAGATCAGATGTCATCTATCTCGTGTAGATAGATCAGAAGTCACCAGCAAAATTCAAGGATATATAAATCAGTTAAGTGCAAATGGTGATTTATTATCTTTTTTGAGGACAGCAGGCCATCTGATGGATGGTTATTACAGAAAGCAAGTTCGACCTTAACCATTGGTAAACTGTAAACTTATGATTTGTATTTTATTTTAATACCTACTAATGTTAACTCATTATTTTTTATTAGGATCAGTAATGAATGTGCAAGTTAAAGCCAGTAAATTTTATACTTTTATATAACCTATTTAGGTTAAATATGACTTGAAATAATTTGATTCATAACCCTTTTATTTTTAAAAAAATTTTATACTTTGTTTAATTTTATATACCAATTAATGACTTACAACAATTTTTTTTTACACAACTTTTATAATTGTAAATAATTTATTTATACAACGTTTTTACAAAATTTACAACTGGGCAAGTAAACTATTATTTCTAACTCAACGAACGTGTATGATATACTGAGTAAATAGTTATAGGTTACGCCTGTTTAAATAATTTTTTTTGTATTACTACTTATATAATATCACTGTATAAGAAAAACGATTCTGATCGAAGACCTATGATATTTCTAAGCATATTTGATGATATTATTGTAAATAAAGTAATCTATATAATATAACCTATTTACATGGAACCTTGTTTTACATTTTCAATCATTAGCTATAAAAGTTGACATTATACACATTTTTAACTACAAAATAATTTTTTGACAACTATAGAAAAAAAATATAAATTATTATAAAAATATCAAATATTTAATGTAAACACTTAATTTTTATTTAAAGAGCTTTAAAAAAAATTAGAAATAAATATACTATGAATATAGTATGAATGTCTTATGTTCCCCATGTGACTTCATTATACGAAAGTTTCACTGTGTTAATAATTTATTTAGGAATTCTAAGGAATTTTTACTGTAAAAATATTTATAAATGTTTAGATTTATGTTTACTTGACTTACCTCAGGCATGTTAAAATGGTGAGAGTCTGGCATACTCAACAATTAATTTGCTTCACTCAATGATGGTTTGAAGTTGACGTTATTCAATTGGCTATAGTGCTTATACTGAGGCTTAGAAATGGTGTCTCCGATAGTGATGCAGTCTGGTCAGATAATGCTACATGCTTTTCCAAGCTCACCTATAAAAAATGAATATTGTATATTCAAAATAATAAAATTAAGTTAATATACTATTTAATAGGTATTATACATACTATACTCTTTCCCATTTTTATAAAATTGTATTCGATATGTATTCCAAATCCAATTATCTGTCAGTTCTACACCATCTTTTAGGAAATCACTTGTTACATGTGAAGTGCTTGGGGTCCACACACATTTTACCACTAAATTTCCATTACTATCAACCATATTTCAATACCCAGTTTGATGGTATTTACAATTAAGTCATTATTGTCCGGAAATGTAGCAATAACCCAACGTTTTTTGTTCTGTCTCTATGGCAATGCATACAAAATTAATAATTAACTGATTATAAGGGTTAATACATAAGTTAAACTAAAATAAAATTATCTTAGACACTATTATTGTCTATTCTCAACCGACAAAACCATTTTATATTTACAATTTTATAATTACATGCCCAAAATGTTGACTAAAGAGCAGACCAATATGTGTATAATAATTACCTGTTAAACAGCTGGATGAGACGAGAATATTATCCACTAATGCACTTCATTTCGTTTCGTTCAAACAATTAACAAATAAGCACGTTGTAAAAATATATTAAACTGTTTTAAACAGTAAAACAAGTACCTTAACTCAATATGCTCGTCGTATGGTAGCAAAAGGCGGTTAAAGACAAAAAGATGTAGGTAATCTGGTAATTGGTAATATTGTAAATACAAGTATATTATTGTATTAACAATAATGGGTATAGTCATTAGTCATTACTCATTAGTCGTATAGAGCAGTGAAGTATAGACTATAAATTCGTGACACCGCACTACCACAGCTAGTCTACGTCAGGATAATGATATTATTATATAAATATTATACCTCCCGCTTACCCCGAAATCCGAAACAGAAAACCAATGCTTATATCTATAATAATGACTAACGACCACGATTAAAGATATCTTTAACTAATGAGATATTATTATAATTATTTGGGACTTGGGTTTATTTTTGAACTTATAAATAAACTATAGAGTATTATTAAACGCATAAACAAGATTATTCTAATACAACAATAATTACTGAACATTGCATGAATGTTTTGTGGCATTTCATACCAATTATGAATTATGATTAATGACACTAATTAACAGTTATAACATTTAAATAATATTATGTCTTGCATTAAATAATATTTTTATAGAAAAATTATACAATATTGCAATTATTGCATTATAGTTAGTACTTGGTAATATTTTTATATGATCGAAACTTTAACATATTATTTATAATTAGTATTCAATACTGATACAAATACATAATACATAAAATAGAATTTATGACAATGTTGGTAATGTCTTTATGGTACATAATGGTACAGGGAATTTATGTTTTAGTATTGGTAAACATGATCTGATAAATTTTTTCTTTTTTTTTCCGAGTTCTTATCAGCTGTAAGAGAACGGCTACACACTCTACTTTGTACTTAATACCAGTTGACTAAATACAGTTTACTTAATTAATGTTAATACTTAACCACTGTCGTTTATTATAAGGGAATTCAGAAATCAGAATTCAGATTCTAGTTTTCTAAATTTTTCATGATTTCTTTGAGTCAAATTTTTTTTTCAATGCTAATTGGAGATGCCTTAGTAAGTTAGTGATCTACGTTTCGTTATTTGTTTGTTTGATAGAACAAATTATAATTACATTTTAATCTATTTAATCAAGGTAATAATACATTGCTTACTTAAGAGTTTCTAGTACAAAATACTCTCTCAAACTTATGAGTTGTGTTAGACTCTGTTGGCATGTGTTAGCGTATTTACAATATCCGGTAAAGTGTGAGTAAACGCTAACAGACTGATAACAAATTTTATTACCTGCAGAATTTGGCATGTTAAGTGTCGGTTAACTTTAACCGGACATTGTAAGAACGGTTCTAAGTGCTTAGGCTTATACAGTATGTTTTAGTATTTTAAAATATAATATGTTTCTAATCGAATAGTTTTTGATATGAATTATAACTTATATTATATGTCACCTATTATATTGAATATGAATATTTATTTGACTATATACAGGACTATATTAAATTCTGTTATCATGATGAATTGTGATGGCGAAATCTGGCAATGATTAAAACCTTTTGATTAATACATTCATTTATTTTTCGATAGTTAATCGTTATAAATATACTTTTCCTGATAAAATAATTCTTACAGATCTAAAATGACTTTTACATAATATTTTTCTAATTAATTTATAAAATAGCAAGGGGGCAATGCATGTTTGTTGAGGAGTTTTTTTTTTTGGTTGCATATTTTGTTAAGAGAAATTGTTGTCGGATGTCTGTTGGTAGGTAGTTAGCTGTTATATATTATATTATATAATTAATATACTATCCTTTTTTTTTTGTGATTAGATTTACTTTTATACCGTGTAAACATGACAAATATTTAATTTTGGTTCTATTATCTGATTAATAAATAATTATGATTTAGTATTTGTTTACAAATTACCATTGTCACTCGTAGCATAAACAAACACTGGACATATTATACCTTATTATCAAGGCTAGGATTTCTATGCATTTGTATATTTTTTTCCTTGAGCCCAAGTTGGTTGGCGGATGTCTATAATTTGGATTACTCTTGATAATATAGAACAACTTTTTTTCGTGCATATTTTGAACATAATGCATATGATTGCATAATTTGATTTTTGGAAATCTCATGGATTTGAGAAGGGTATTTATCTAATGGATGTCTATAAAGTTATTTGTCAAATTGTCTAAATTTACTATCTAATCTTATCTTGGTAACACAACTGATAGGATTACCTATACATTGTTTTTGGTTTTCATTAGTAAAACAAATTTTAATCAATATATAAATCTATTTATTGTTCTATTTGCCAGTCATTTGTGTCAAAATTAGAAGGAACATATCATTAGAGCAATATTCAATATAGTAATAACTACTTATTATAAATAATAATTCTAAGAAATAATAAATGGTTATTTATTATTAGGTAGGTTCTGTTTCCATTAGTTTCTATTTTTATGTAAGAAATATTAAATGTTGTGTAGAAAAAAAAACTATTTTAGTAGGTTATTAAAATGTTTTATTGCATATAAATCCTAGCCCTACTTATTAGTAATAAGTATTATAGGTTATTAACCAATTTTATTTAAATTAATGTAGTTCATAATATTATTTTACTATAACTGTTTTATTTAGTATAAAACTATACAAATAAACTGATTAATACTATAATGATTTAATTTTTTTTTTTTTTTGTAATTTACAGATATTTTATTTATCTGTACTCAAGTAAAATTAAACAAGACCTTGGACAATAAAGATGTCATTGATAATTCTGATAAAACAGAAATAATTCAATCTGAAACTATTCATTCTGATCAATTAGCTACCGTAGAAATAAAAAAGTAGAACCTCCTACAGTTGACCAAGAAAACGAGGAATTAATAACTAAACTAGAACAAATATCCATTGAGGATACTGATAAGGTGAAAAAGCTGAAAAATTGGAAACAATTTCCAAAAAACCATTGGTAGAAATTGAAAAAGTTGAAGACACTACAATTGTAGAGAGCAATCCAATACAGCAAACATTGTTGTCGATCAACCTACACCAGTATCAGATCAATTATTATAAACATCAGATATGTAATCTGCAGTTCCTACTCAAGATAGTTTAATTGAAAACACTCAAGATCAAATTGTTCCAGTTAGTCAAGACAGTTTAATAAAAGAAAGTCAACAAGTTATTCCTGTCACTGATTCGGTAATGAATAATGATATAAAACTTGAAGATAACACAGTCGATTTAGATCAACAATCAGCATTAAGTATGAAAGATTCAGTATTGAAAGACTTGTATATGAGAGAATCATCTGAGTTTTTAACTGATGAACCATCTTTAAAAGTTGGATCTCCTCTACTTGAAATAAAATCGGAGTCTATAAAAAGTGAAAAACAAATTAAAATTGTAAATTTTGAAAATTCCATATACGATGTTGAAAACGCAGATCAGAAAGAAGAGAAAAAATCAGAAAATTATGTGGCTGATGCATTATCAACATTAGCAACTGCTGCTTTTAAAAAGTCAGCTTATACTAATGGAACTACAGAAAGTGTAATATCAAAATCTGTACAGCCAATTGTACAAGTTAAATATGAAGAACCAGTATGGAGTGATGTTGGTGTAATTAAAGGTACTACTTGTTTGGTGGGAAATTTTTACTCCACTTCTACTACTGATGAACATGAAAATACTAGCTTAGATAATTTACCAGATTATGAACATAAATTAAAAATTAATATTCAACCTGGGACAATTTACAAACTTCATATAGCTGCTATAAATACTTGTGGCCGTGGAGAATGGAGTGAAATATCTGCATTTAAGACTTGTGTACCAGGTTATCCAAAGCCTCCAGCTGATATTAAAATTATAAAAGGACCCGATGGTGCTAGATTAACATGGTCTCCTCCTACAAGTTCTGGAAAGATTTTAGAATATTCTGTTTGGATAGCCATTAAAAATTCTAAGGATGTACCACACCGGAGTACAAAACCAACTTCAACAAATTTAAATTTTGTTTGTGTATATTGTAATGCTCATAATGCTGCTATAGTCAGTCATAAGTTACTTGGAGCCGCTCTGATCGATAGAACTAATAAACCTGCTATAATATTTCGAATTGCTGCTAAAAATGAGAAGGGATATGGACCAGCTACACAAGTTAGATGGTCACAAGACAGAAACGTGTCTGGATCAAATAATAATCTTTCAATGAAAAGAAAATATAATGATAATTTTTTAACTGAGGTTCCCTAAAGACACAAAATGTAAAATATTTATTGATGTATTGTAAATTAAAGTTCACATTGTTTTATTTAAACCAATATTTTCTGGTGTTTATTATAATAAAAAATTATTTTGTTCTAAATATGGTTTTAGATACACATCTTTTTAGATAATATATACCTAATATTATCTATTAATGAAATTGGTTTTCAATTTTTAAGGGAAATCATTATTTTTTCTTTATTAATAAATAAACCAACATTTTATAAATTAATCATTTAACATAAGGTATAAAAAATACATAGTAAAAATTATTTTTGATCAATAATTATATTTTTTGTACGAGGTATTTTAATAGATTAGTAATTTGGATACTGAATATACAATAATATACAATATACTTATTTTATCAAATTATATAGCATGTATTATTTGTATGTGTAATAAATATGTTTCATGAACATGCCCCTGAACATAGTACAGAATTAATCTTTTTGTCTCTGAAAAATGTATGGGCACATCTGGAAGTAGTTTATTGGAAATATCGTCTGGAAGTGATATATGATATATATGATATATCATATTTTGCAGAACATTTTCCAAACATTGAGTTTCAGACAACTGAAATTAATAGAAGTTTTTTTGAAACCATAAATGCTTGCACACATAATTGGTCAGATGTATTACCAGAAAAATATTTGGATGTATCCTCTGATCAGTGTCGCAACTAGCACTGAATATTAGGGGGGGCTACAGCCGCACCTCAATATTATACCAAAGGTAACTCAAGGGGGCTTTGCCCAAACACTCCATATCTGGCTTAAAATTAAAACACCACAAATATATCAATACTTCCTTTTAATTATAATATAAAATAGTTAACATGTTATTAAAGATTATTTCAAGAAGGCAGGTTGGTTATGACTATTTTAAAATACACAAACAATTTTTAAAATACTCATAACTTGCTTTAAAATTAAAATATAAAAAATATCTTTTATAAGAGGTCAATTCACTCTAATTTTTAAACCAACGTTATCTGCCAAGCATACAATTTTTATTTTAAGCGTTTGTAAGACAGAGAGAACTCATGCGGCCTCTAAACTTAATGTAAAATAATATTAATTTATATTTTTTTTAGGATTGTTTAGAGACAGCTGTTGTGCATTAAAGCCAAAAGGTAAAATGTTTATGTATAGTCCATATACAGATAATTATAAGCTAACTCCTACGAGAAATTTTGATTTTGATAGTAATTTGAAGAAGCTTAATGCAAAATAGGGGCTAATAGATATTACTCATAATCGTACATATCTGGTACTCACATGGTTTGTCTCCTGCGCCACGGTATTTTTATAGATAGATAGATTATAGGTAGATAGGTACTAGTATAGGAATATTGATCCAGAATTAATATATTAACATATTTAAAAATGCTAATCGACAATAGTGACCAACAATGACGTATACCTACATAGTTAAATTTAAAAACAAATTACCTATTAATATTATAGGACGACTCTGCTTAAAACGCGTTTTATGATCGTAGTTTAAACGTATACACACGCACACGATTATGCACCTTCATTTGTAATCATCTATTCATGACGTATCGATATACGCTATATTTAAGTATTCAAAACATCTCGATGATCGGGGGTTAAAGTGGTACACAATGGCAAAGAGTACCAATGGGGGGGGGGGAAGCTATGGATAAAACTGGTGTTCAAGCTCCCTCTAATTGCACCTAAGAGAGGTACATATTGTGATTCATATTCTATGTTGAGCATTCCATGTAATGATTTCCCCCTACAATTCTGTAATTTGTTGAACCAAACAATTTTTTCTCAAAATATTTATTGCTATAGAAAACTATCGATATTATATAGAATCGTAATACCTAATGCCTATAATTAAATAGTTAGGTACAAATAAAGTTGAGCACATAAATAATAATTTTCTTTCTTCTTGGACTTTATTTTACAGAATAGTTTTTAACACTTACCTACATAATATATATATATTAGAAAAATTAAATATAATACAAATATATTATCAATAGGGACATAAATTATATTTCTCTTGTGACTTAGCCACTTAGGTGTACATCACACAAAATGTTAAATATATTATAATTAATAAGTTAAAAATTGAAAAGTGATTAAGTGCAGCAGGGTGGAGTAGATCAGCGGTGGTGGAAGTTTGTCCATCGTCCCTTAAGTCCTCGGACAGGAGAGTATATTACCTTTTACAGCATTCAATTTGAATGCAATGATTACGTTTTACAAAAAACGATTCTGAGCCGACAAAAAAAAGTGTATGAATCATAATTAATATATATTAATAAGTAAAAATGTTTTGTATATAATATAAATAGAGAGAATTAGGTAAGTTTTATATTTTATTCGTTTCTATAGGGATAAACAAACAGTTAGTAAAATTAAATGTTGGTGGGTTTTTCTATTAGTGTTAAAAACTATTGAGAAAATCGAAAAATGACTTCTCTAAGGTACTATCTTCATTCAAATTTCTAAAAGATAAAATACTATATGTCGAAATCGAAACACTCCTTCTGGTAGACATTTTGTTAACAGGATAAAAATAAATAGCGTTGTAAAACCACTAGGTCCTCGCTCTGCTCAGAACCTAAAGAAATACATAATATATTTTAGTTTTGGCAAGCTTTTTTTTAATTATAAAACACTGTTCCACTACTTTAATGAATTCAATTTAATATTTTACTCAGTACTAAAGTACTTGTCTATGTTAGGTACTTAATATATTCACCTTTGATAATAAGTTTTACAATAAAGTGATTGGGTGTAAGATTTTCTTAGTTTAAAGGTTGATTCATTAAGCGTACAATATTCAAAAAGTATTTATATTTTCAAATATTGTTTTCCTTATAATTTTTTTTGTTTTTAGTTTTTTGCATGACAGCCTAAAGTTTTAATTTCATATTCCAAAGCAGAATATTTTTCTAAGTTTTTTGATTCATAAGAATCTAATTTAGTGCAAGTGGTTTAGAAGTTTAAGTATTTAAAGTTTAGATGGGCGGAATGGAGTGGCATAGGGTTACCCCTCAAATTTTTTGTCCACTACTCCGCTTGTCTAAAGTTTAAATACTTTTAACTCATAAACTACTAGTTCTAAATTCGACTTTTATGTATCAAAATACTAAGAAAAATGTTCTACTTTGGAATAATAAATTAAAAATGATATCAAGTAGTAGTAATGATAATAAGTAGATAGCTAAGGCTTGGATTTTTCAAAGCATTTGTATCTTTTTTAAGAGTTTTTGTACAATACTTTATATTCAACATTTAATGTATTTCAACTGTTTCAAGTACACAGTATTCTAACAGTAAACTAATTTTTATGGGTTTGGCGTTTTAGAATATCTATATGACTGTGTGCATGCCGTGTAGTTTTCCCACTTGGTAGTTCCAAAATAAAAATAGTTGGCCAAAAGTCGATATTTTGAATTTGAGAATATTCAAATAAGCCTGGCAAAAATGATTTCTATGATACCCAAGGTGTATGCATATGTAAAATGTATCACAAAATATTATTAGCTATACCAATAAAATAAAAATTGAAGTGGACAAAACATAGTTTTTTTCATAATACATTTAATACTTTGTAAATTTTTAACTACAAAATAATTTCAAAATTGTCCTAATTCAACCGATTTTTTCAACATTCTAATGATATATATATATATATATATAATATATAAATATCATATTTAATTATATATTAATTATATACTTATCGAACAACATTTAAATTTAAAGATCATATGCTTCATAATTATAGGTACATATTATTCAGACAACATTTAAAAATTAAAACAATATATCATATTATATTCATAACAATAGATTATTATGATTCACATAAATTTATATAATAACTTTAATTAATGACATTTAGAATTAAGACTATAACTCTAATATTACATCAGATACAATTATACTTATTCAAGCACACACACACAAAATATTACATATAAGGAGCCTGGAAAATACCTATCTGGCGGGCAGAGTTTTTCCGACCACGAATGTATAAGTGTTATTATCATACCTTTTGTATAGATGTTAAAAAAGCGAGTTTGACGACTACGCAGACATTCTGTTCAAAAGGATATTATTGCAAAGTAAATTAACTGTTATATTAAATATAAATGTGGTATGGTAAATAAATAAACTCAATAGTTATAACCAATAAAGAAAAGGTTTTTTATTATTTTAAAATGTGTGTTTTATAATTAATTGACTAAAGAAGAAGAAGAAGCAGAATCAAAAAGGTAATATGTGAATATATAACATAATTTGGTAGTTAGTGATTGCATTAGTGACATATAATAAAATTTATTATATGTCACTATTTGAAGTTAAAATCATTACAACATTTTAACTTCAAATAATTTTTGTTCTATTCGGTGTTACTCTAGTAGATACTTTATTAGGTACTTATTTTAGATTCTGAGTGAAACGATGAATGTATTGATTTTACAATGATGAGTGCTTTTTTTTTTTTTTACTTTTAGGTCTGTCATCACAGTTTAGGTCAGTAAAACTAATTTTCTTCAACATCATCTGGATGGGAAAGTGAATCTAGTTGGTGCATTCAGGATTTAAAATTAAATTTCCTAATGGTTTTCAAAAGCGACGGGAAAAACAACAAAAAAATTAGGGAAAACGGGAATTAAAAACTGACTATATCCTTATACAGCTCAAAAAGAGTCAAAATATTATATAATATTTGCTTATAGACTTTTTTTGATAAATGTAGATAAATGTAATAATCTTGTATTATATTTTCAAATCTTAGATTAAAAAGAAAATTTTTATGAATTTTGCACTAAAAATAATTTGCTTATTTTATTTTCGTGATTTTTCAGTGTTTTGTCAAGATTTGAACTTCAAATGGTCGTTAAAAAAACTGTGGCTAAGGATTTTCAATGTTTTTTAAATGTCATTGTAACAATATAGTAGGAGCCTTGTATTAAATTTTTAAGCCTTTTT